TTCTTTTGTTTAGGAGTTCAAGGAACTGAAAAGCAATGTTGCTGAAGGCTTGCAAGAAAATGGCGGGATGGCATGAGTTATTGGGAGGCCAATGAAGGCACTAGGGTAGAAGACCAGGGAAGAGATGTTCCTTAATGGGTTAAAGATGGTGGCAATGCAAGTGAGGAGCAATTGAATTTAAGAGGAAAACTCTACAGGACTTCAGGATGTATTTGACAGAGATAAGACTCATTAATTCAAACTCTTTGATATTTTGTTATTAATTGGAGAAAACTGGTTTAAAATGTACTACAGTATCTGTAAAGAAAGTGTTTGTTGAGTCAATGAAGCAAATGTAGAGGAAAGAGATTTGGAAGAGAAAGTTTAACCGACTTCAGAGAATAAGTATTTTAAGGGCTTAGGTAAACACCATCATTTAAGTAGAGAGATTTCCAGGATCTCTGCAATTTGAAATAAATTTCTGAAGTTCAGACTTCTCACAGATCCAAATGAGTTTTTATCCCAAAATCACTTATTCATTCAAAAAATTGTAACATTTAAAATATGCAAGAAGCTGTGTGGGTTGCAAAGATGAATCAGGAAAGGGCTTGTACAAAAGTAACAGGAACACAGATTGTGTCCTAACTTAGGGCCGTGACGACAAGTACAAACCAAATAACCTAGAGAAACAGTTTGTGCTGTGGCTTGAAAGATGGGCAAGGGTGGGGCATTCAGCAACAGATAAGCAGGCATTCTAAGAAGAATCAACAGTGCGGGTATCAACACAGTAGTGAGAGGGTTAGGATCATGGCTGGACCAAGTAGCAGTATTAAAATGTGTGGGTAATAACTAGACAGTGTTAGTAAAATATTTAGTTAATGAAAAGTCGAAAAATGAAAAGTTTTCCTCCAAATGCACTTAATGGATCACAGATTCATCCAATCATAGGGCTGAATGGGATCTGAGAAGGGAAGCTCTGCTATCTCAGTGCTTGTCATCACTGCCTTGCTATGGCTTGGTCATCTGAGCCAGGACCTAAGACTTCAATGGCCTTTCTCCCTTGGTCAAGGCCTGGATAATATTGATCTCACGTCCAGGTTTCTGATCCTTAGGCCCTATTTTCACTTCACTTTTCCTATAAACTTTTAGAGAAAATATCCCTTTATAATTAAGCTTTGAGGTCACCCAAGTATTCCCCCAGGTGTGACTTCCCCAGACAAGGCTCCAAGATGCCAAGTAACCTCCTAGGCCTTTAATCCGGCACACATGTTTGAGGCTCTCCTGAGTTCCTCATGGCTACTTTTTCCTCTCAATCACAAACCAGGCTACATATTTGCAAGGAAGACGTGAGTGGAACCCAAGTGGGGTCGAGGCAATGTGGGATCGGTGGTTCTGCACACAGAAAAGCATCAGCAGACACCGCTCTTGCTGCCAAAAGAGCTGATCAACATCCTTTTGTCCAGAATTACCCGATCATATTCTTGAAAGACATTCACCCATAAATGACATTCTTTCTTTACAAACATCAGTGCCTTTTACTAGTCAACTGTCAGTGTCTCACTCTTGCCGGCTATTTTTTTTTTTCAATAGTGGTCACGAAGTTGAAATTATCTATCCATTCTTACTCAGCTTCTTGACTAATCCTACCCACTTAAAAGAATGACTTTTCAGGATCAATCATAAAGGAGAACTAAGTCCACACAGGACAGAATTCATGATCTGGACCTCATTGCTTTGTCCTAACCTGAGCTTCACTGCCTGGGTAATTGGGTACCGCCCGGAGTCACAGCAATCAGCCGTCTCTGGCAGCCTGTCTGTATGCCAGAGATGTCACCATTTGTCAGGTCCTACGAAACTCAATGCCTGCATTTCCCTTGAGGGCCTCCTAGGGAGTTTCCCACATTGAAGGATGGTTTATTTAACTTATCACAGCAAGTGCTAATGAAAGATGGTGAGGTTCACAGAATAACGACCACCTGTCATCTCTTATTAGTTAGATATTTCATGCTGGAGACTTGTTAAGGGCACTAAAATTACTTACATCAGATAACTGAATTATAATTAAATGCTCTGTAGATTATGAAAATGCCGTTGTTTCTATGATAGGGAAACATAAATAATAGCAGCAAAAGAGGCTTATTAAAAAATTAGCTTATTTCTAGACACTCTGTCAGTTAGTTGGTCATTAAGCAGAGGCCTTTCCAGACCTGCCTGCTCTCATCGCTCCTCTTCCACCTCCGCTCAGCCGAGAGCCCCACTCCCAGTGGGTGTAAGCCACACGCTTACAACCTTCTGGCAGACTGGGGACCCTGGAGCTGAGCGCTAACAGCTCCTGTAGGCTCCTCCCCTTCAGGCACCACTGGGCCCAAAGGGAACCCATGTAAAGAGAAAGCAGTCACCCACCGAACCCCAGCTCCTCTGGTGGGCATTGGGTAATATGGGCGTTACCTTTCTGAAGGGCACATGACCCATGCTTCTTATCCCCCTTCTCAGCCCTCAGACTGTCCATTTTCCACATCTGGACTCACGTGAGAATGAAGCATGTACTAGAAACACATAAGGAGAAAACCAGGGTGGCTTTTTGTGCAATCTATCTGGGACTTATTTCCAGGATGAGCTTATTAGTATTAACCAGAAAGGAAACTATTAAATAATAATTAAGACCAATACAGCAGCTTTTAAATAGTCTTTGAGTTCAGGAAGGAAAAGTCCTCCTGGGGACAATGCCCACTTGATACACACACACACACACACACACACACACACACACATACACTCACACTCACACACACACTCACAGTAGAAGGGGAGGGCTGGACCGTCTCCCTCCATCGCCTTTCACACTCACTCCCGGACCCACCTGGCCTTGGAGCCTTTAGTCCACCGGGCAGGGGAGCCTGACCCCGACTGGGCAGGCTGCTGCGAGCGCCTCAGACCCGGGATCCAGTCACACACACAGACACTCACACACACACTCACACACACACTCACACACAGACACACACACACTCACACTCACACACTACAACTCAATGCAAAATCAATATCCATAAGTGGCTGAACAATTTGTGTTATAGAGTTCAAAGCTAGGTAGTCAGGAAAGACTCTATCTAGAAAGGCCACAAATGCACTCCACACCAGTTGAAAATAGTTAAATTCCTGCAAATTCTTTAAAGCCAAGAAATCCATCCTCAGGGATCCTGTGTGCCCCCTTTTCATGTCTCTAATTCCGGCTGCATTTTCCTCAGCACATCTTTTGGGGTGTATCTGTCCCATCCGCAGTCATCCCCATACACGTGTGAAATTCCTCCCCTTTTGTTCCTTCAACTTTCTTTGCAGAAGATGCTTCACAGCAACAATCCCATTAGCTTTACAAATGCTGTTTGGAAACCCAAGCAGAGCCACTGCTTTCTCAGATGGCTGGGAATTTGTTACCCCAAGTGATTTTTTCATCCCAATTTCCAGGTCATGCTGCTCCATTATGCAGAGTGGGGAGAGAAAGACAGGGGGGGAGAAAAGCTCCCCCCAACAGAAACATGCCACTTTCCCTGGAAGACACCAACGCCACCACAAACAAACAAATAAATAATAAATATTCTTTCGCTGAAATAAGTCTCACTTCAGTAAGCAACACATTATGCACCATACTGGTATAATAAAGCACACTTCCCCTTGAATCATTCCCACTAATACAATGTATTCAGTGCTCATATGATTACACTTTTACAGCCTGTTAGCAAAAACACATACAATTGCAAAGTGCTGCTAATGCAATGTGACAGAATACTGTTATTACGAGAAGAAGTTGTCAGCACTGAGCAATTGATTTTCCTTCATCTCCTTTCTGCTCCTGCCCATCCTCCCCACCCCTCCTGGAGATGTTTATTATGTACTCTGGGTGCAGTCCTTTCTCGGAATCAATTCCGATGGAGTATAGAGAAGGAATACAAAGACAGAAAAAGTTAGACATTCTAAGGGGGAAAAGTTTCTTTGGGGGCATTTAAAATATATATATATTTTAAATGCCCCCAAAGAAACTTTTCCCCCTTAGAATGTCTAACTTTTTCTGTCTTTGTATTCCTTCTCTATACTCCATCGGAATTGATTCCGAGAAAGGACTGCACCCAGAGTACATAATAAACATCTCCAGGAGGGGTGGGGAGCATCCCAAGCATGTGCCCTGACCAGGAATCAAACAGTGACCTCCTGGTTCATAGGTCAACATTCAACCACTGAGCCATGCCAGCTGGGCGCTTTGGGGGATATTTTCTTCTTAGTCTTTATTAAAGCTTTGGGAACCACGGCTCCCTTCTCCCAGCAGAAAGATCCGTTGTTGTTTATTTGTTGTATCATGCCATGCCTATTTATTTGCCCCTTTTCTTTTCATATTTTCTTTTCATAACATAAAAATAGATATGCTTTAAAGTGTAGGACACCTACATTCCTGCTATTCATGCCCATGCATTTTGCAGAGCAATGAAGGGAAGAAATAAGGAATACAGGAAGCCAAGAAGAAAAGTTATTTGATTATTTCTTGGTCAATATTTTCCTTGTCAACATTTACCTTCACTCACAAAGGGACAAGAGATATATTAAACAATGATGTCTTTCTGGAAATGAAAACAGCTCCGTGGTTAGCATCAGCGACTTACCCCAGAATCATAGGATAGTATAATTGGATGGGTCAGAGAGATCAAAGGCAATGTAATCATTATACAGGTGAGAAAATCCAAGCTCCAAGGGTTAAGGAATTTATATCTGACTTCTCAACACTAGTCAGTTTTAGAGTTAAATCTAGAAGCCTTTTTGTTTTGTTTTTGCTGCTGCTGCTGCTGCTATAATATCCTAAGCCTTTAAAGGTAACACATGTATATCAATAGATGCATTACTGAATCACCAAATGGCCCTTAACACCTCAGCTTTCTGTTTTGTGGTTACAATGAAATAGAAAAGTTCCACTTGTCAATGTAGGTTCCAGGGAGAATAGATAGGTCCCTGCAAATTGCTTGATTGTCTTTTGAAAGAGCAAGTTACCAGAGGAAACGTTGAAATATCTTGGTTTATAGATGCCATCTTGGGATATTGCAGCTTCCTAGAATACAAAAAAAAAGTGTGATTTTTCCACTACCCTATGTAAACATATAATTCACACATCTTCCTTCTCCCCGCCCCACCTCATTAAATGGATGCACCCTTGTTGGTACCCAACATAAATGCTGATGCTTCCTCTTTTGCTCAGCAGGATCTCATTATAACATGCTCTTGAATATATAAGAGCCACATGGACCAAAGGTTCCCTTGAGGTCCCCAAGCATTACTGTCCATCAGTATTAGAAAGCTGAAGCCTCAGCCAGTTGGGTTCTGACTCATTGGGGTAGACTTTACATTTTTTAATGGAAGATTTGGGGATCTTTTATCCTGAAGATTGCTTAAGGTACTCCATGTGTGACTGGAGGATGTAGGTGTAGGTGTTCAGTCTGATTTTGGTTCGGGTTTATGATGTCAACTAGCAAATATTCATGGGTGGAAAGCATTTAATTTTGGCCAAAAGTGATCTGTGCTGAGTAGGGATGTAGATGCAGCCTCTACTTGAGAAGAGCCACTCTCCTTCCTGGCTTCACCCCTTGAGCTGCTAAAAAGCAACACAGAAGGCAGGGTGTACTCGCATGACCTAGCATAGCCACCCTCTGGGAGCACAGGCCCGCTGAGACAGAGTGGCTGGTGGCAACATTCAGAGTTAGGGGGACTCACTTTGCAGTAGACCCATTCACCTTTATTACCCTCCTTCCTCCATTTAACATCATTTCCTGGTGCCCCTTCCTATAAACCCTATTGGAATCTGTCTCTTTTCAACAGGGTTCTTAGCTCTCCTCTTACCATATCACAACGGCCACTTCCTAATTCTTCCCGTGCCCGTAAACCTATGAATTTATGCTAAGCCATTACCACCATTTGTGACCTTAAAAATGGCAATTTCCTATAATCCAACCTCATACTAATGGGTAGCAATGAAAACACTACCTCCTCTCTGGTTTCTTTCCTTTTTCTTTTCTTTTCTTTCTTTTTCTTTTTACTTCTTTTTACAAAAAGCTTCTTTTGACATGAAGGCCTTGCGCAGTGGAAATTTCAGGCCCAGCTGACATGTGTGTAGCGTAGGCGTGCCGGGATGTTTCAAAAAGCCCACTAGATCTCCAGCCACTTCACATTCCAATTCTGCAACCAATAAAGGAAAGGGACAGGGAGGGTTTTCCTACTCAGATTCCAGCTCAGTTCAAACCCTCACATTCCCTGAACATCTAAACACGGCAGACACAGTACTGAATTCTGTGGGAAAGGGAGAGATGAAGAGGAAGGCACAGTCTGGGGCCTCCAGAAATTCTTAAGTCTTAGGAAGACTTAACTCGTGAGTGCCAAGTGGTCTGGGAGAACCACCACAAAATGCTTCCATAGCTGAGACAGAAGAAGTACATTCTCACTCAGAGTACAGGTCAGGGCAACATGGAATAGGTGCTTCCACCCTGGCCCTTAGGGAAGCAGCAATAGACCCCGGGTCCAGGGCATTTAGCAAGAAGCACAATGGGGATTAATAACCACGCAGGCTCCCTTCCAGGAGCTGGTTCTGCTGTGTGTTTTATGACTTCTCCAGTGGAGGCCACCATCGTCTGCTGTTAGAATGAGACGTTCAGGCCAGCCGAAATGTTGGGGAGCATCCCGAGCACCTGTGTGCTTATATCTCTGTGTGTTCATTCATTTATCCAGCACTTGAACCAACCAGCTATGATCTTTTCAAGAACAGTAGATAAAACGTGGGGTAATCACAGGAGGCTAAGGCAAAGTTTCGGGTTTCAATATATGCCTCTTCGTAGGCAGATAGGCCATAACATGACAATAATGAAATATAAATGACCTGCATTTTAAAAAAGATAAAAATCAGGTAATTATTGAAGCATCAGTTCATTGGGAAATAATTGGTAATGACCTTTGATAAAGAAATCAGGTCGTGATATTGTTGACAGGACAATTTTCCACTGAGGCAGTGGAGAGAAATGTAGCAGCTGGCTCCAAAGCAGGAGAAACCTAAGTTAATTTGTTAGCTCCGGCAAGAAAGCTGCTCATTTGTTGGTACAAGGCTGAATGACTACATATTTTTAACTGTTGGAAACAGAGAAGGCCAGCTAAATAATGCCATTCTTGAATAATGTGACAGGTCATCATTAGCGCCAGGCCCATGTTCTCAGGGGTCATTGTAGTCAGTGCGTGATGATGGCTTCCTGTGTCCCTCTCTACCTGGGAGGTGGGGAGGTCCAGCCAGACTGTTCCATAGGCCGGAAATATGGATGCCTTAACACACTAGGACCAATCCTCAACCAATCAGGGGCAGAAACTGGTAAAAAATAATCCAGATTCATGTCACTTCAGTGCTACAACCCTGATGTATATTCTACAATTTGTCACTGAGGCCCCACCCAGGGGACTCAGGGTTGAGCCTCAGTTTCCCACAGCTGTAACCCATTCATTAATGTTCCTCAGCTGTCAAATATATTTCCCTCAGCGGGCTACTCTGAGGATAAAATTAAACAATACATTTAAAGGGCTTCACACTGTTCCTGGCCCATAGCAAGAGCCCAACAAGGGGTAGCTCTAATACCAGCAGCACAATTAGTACTAATATCATTCTTATTACTTGGTTCCCTTTTAAGTGGGTTTCTCTCTCCTGTGACCCAAACTGCCTTGACTAGAACATACCCCCAACTTGTCTGAACAATGCCTTGAGGAGCCAGACATAACACAGAAAATTCTTTAAAAGAGAACTTGTCAGCACAGAAATTGTTGCAAAAAAAAACACCCCCCCCCCAAAAAAAAAGATGGACTTGCATGTAAACTTTTTCAGAGAGTTTTGTAAATCACTTTTTCGCTTGCCTTCTTGCCTCAATGCATATAGCAATTGCTCAGAGGAGTTGTGAGTCAGTGCCACGGTCTCTTTCTCCTCAATTCTTCCTGCATTTGGTTTGCTGGTAAGGTCTTATGCATATGTAGCGATCCCTGACATCAGAATACCATGCGGGCTTAAATAAATAAGACTGCATCTTTGGGGAATAGTCTTTTTCCTCCTCTCCTCCTCCCTTTTCTTTTTCTTCCTTTCCTGTCCTCTCCTCATCCTATCCTTTCCCCTCTCCCCTTCTTCTCTGATTCTCTCCTTCCCACATTCTCATTCTCTCCAATTCTCAGTGCATCTCCCTCTCTCCCTCCCTCCCTCTCTCCCTCCCTCCCT